ATGTCACCCTGGGCAAATCACTTAAATATCTCTCAGCCCTAGATTCTTCATCTGTAAATGATTATTATAAATAATAACACCTACCTGACAGGGTTGTTATAAAGATCAAATGAAACAATATATGTAAAGCTCTTTGCAAATCTGAAAACACTAGATACGTATTCGCTATATTATTTATCTGAAAAAAAGTTTATTTTAGTAATTCTCAGCCTCTTTTTTTTTTGAGGCAATTTCATTTAAGTGACTTGTCCAGAGTCACACAGCTAGTAAGTTCCAAGCGTCTGAGGTTGGATTTGAACTCAAGTCCTCCTGACTCCAGGACTGGTGCTCTATCTGTTGCACCACCTAGTTTCCACCCCCCACTTCTTTCTTGGAGGCAATCGGGGTTTCCCAACTTTTTTAAATGTCAGATTTCATGGATCTGACCCACTTATTATACTTGTGTTATCAGCTATTGAGAAAATATCTAATCAAAAAATCTGCTATGGGACAGCTAGGTAGCGCAGTGGATAGAGCTCTGGCCTTGAAGTCAGGAGGACCTGAGTTCAAATTCAGCCTCTGACACTTGACAGTTACTAGCTGTGTGACCCTGAGCAAGTCACTTAACCTCAATTGCCTCACCAAAAAGCAAAAAAAAAATCCACTATGAATTCAGTGATACTTTAAAATGATTTAATATTTTTATTAATAACAGCATATATATAGTTTTTTTTAAAATAGCAATTTATATGTGTGTGAAACATGTGATCTATGGAAGGTAGGTTTATTTATTTATAGTTTTGCATGTTAATTCCTTTATCCCTTGCAATGAGTCTGTGGTCCTCTGGGGGCCTGCAGTTGAGAATTAGTGGTCAGGTCAAAACTTAGTGGTCTTCTCAATCCATTAGAATCCCAAATAGTTCTATTACATGTTAGTTCTGGTCTATTTTCCAGTACATTGTAAGTCCTACTTGTCCTATACAAAATTCTCCTTCATCAATTACAAAATTGTTTAAAAAAAAAAAAGAAAATCAGTTTGGGGTTTTTTTTCTCAAAGAATAGAAGCATGGTTATAGTGATCCACTTGGTACAGAGTATAGAGGTTATGCCATACTGTATGTACATGGTGGTTTAAATGAGTCCTGTGCCTTTACTAATTATTTGTAATGTACAATAAAAAGGGAATTTCCCTAATAATAGTGTGGTTCTTGAATTAAGCAGAAAAGCAACAAAACTTACATAGAACCTTTGTTAACCTTTTTTGTGTCCTGGACCCCTTTGGAGGGCTGAGTACAGTTTATGGATCCCTTCTCAGAATAATATTTTAAAATTCGTTAAATAAAATACAGAGGAATACAGAGGAAACCAATTATTTTGGAATGTAATAATCAAAATGGCTACAAAGCAAGTTAATGCACTCCATGTTAAGCCCCCCAGAGCAAGGCAATTCTTTGGCTCTCGGTACCAGTGCTAGAAGAAGACCCAAAAGTTACTAGCCGGGGGCTTCCTGCTCTTCTATTAGTGCAGGAGGGTTGTACACAGCACCTGACAAATAGTAGGTGCTTAATAAATGCTTGTTGATGACTATTCACTGGAATTTACACGGAACTCCTTTTAGTGGTTAGTGCGCTATCTCATTCAGATTGTTGCAGCTGAAGTTGAGGTCTTTCATCTTTCACGTGACTGCGCTCAGATAATTGCAGAGCTGAACCAGGAGATATTTAGGGAATCTGCCAATCTCTGAATTTAGAAGGGAAGGGATTTTCAAGGTCATGACGCCCAAGGCCCTGACCAGCTGTGATTCCCCACTCTAACATCCAGTGGTGGCAATCTATTCCAAACTAAGTCAGCAGTCATGTATAAGCACTTACTGTGTGCCAGGCACGATGCTAAGCACTGGGAATATGACTACGAGCCCGCAGGTAGCTAGCATTCTAATGAAAGATGGTAATGCTACTGTTTGTGCTTGGAAGAGGACCAATGACGTCATGAAGGTGATGGATTGACTTTCCAGTGAATTGGATGCAAGTGAGCTTTGCAAAGATGTCAGCCTCACTCTCCTTCAGCAAAAGAAGACAACCCAAGAAAGGCAGCAGAAATGGGCAGAGGAGAAGATACCCACACTGGGGCACGGTGATTAAGCCTGGAGGGAGCAGAGCTGGGAGAAGAGTGATGAATTGCGGGGTGGAGCAGTGCCTCAAAAAGGAGGTTCCAGGAGGAGCTCACCAGTGGGACGAGGGGGTTACAGGGGCAGAAGGATCATCCAGGGTGAGAAGGGAGCTGGGACAGGATGGAGAATTTTGGAAGTGAAGCTGAGAGAGGAGTCAGGATGCTTTATTGCAATCTAATTCCTACCTTTTTCAGCTCTCCCCTCCAGAGCCTGAATATTCAATCTCCATTTCATAAGATAAACAACTTTTCAAATATTTGAAGAGAGCTGTCATTTTCCTTCTCTTATACCCCCATCTTGTTCTCTGTTCCAGGCTAAACACTTCCAGTTTTTCAGTTGATTCTCAGGTAACAGCCCCTACACAATCTTGGCCTTTTTTTTAAACATGCTCTAGTTTATCAGTGTACTTCCTAAAATGCGGTAGACAGCCTAAGGAACAGAACAAATAGATTTTTATTTTGTCTATATCTGTGATTTCAGGGCAGCTAGGTGGTACAGTGGCTAGATGTAGGGCCTGGAGTTAGGAAGACCTGAGTTCAAATCCGGTTCCAGACATTTACTGGCTATGTGACCCTAGCTTAATCCACTTAACCCTATTTGCCTCAGTTTCCTCATCTGTAAAATGAGCTGGAGAAGGAAATGGCAAACCACTCCAGTAGCCCTCCCAAGAAAACACCAAATGAAGTTGGAAATGACTAAACAAAACAACCCTGTGATTTTGTTGGCATATCTAACTCCCAGTAAGGAAAATCCTCCCGCCAGTTCGGTAAGGAGCAGGGAGAGATTAAGAATTTCACCAGTGGTCACACAGCTAGTTATGTTAGAGGTAGGAACTCTAGATAATATTTGTGCTGCTTAAGATCATATTAACTTTTGGGGCAGCCCACATTCCACTGATACTGAGCTTCCATTTCAGTATTAAAGGGCCAAGACAGGATCTCATCTAAGTTTTGTATTAATTTCCAGTGCCTAGTACACTGCTTATTACACTATAATTACTTAATAAGTATTGGTTGAATGAATGAATAAATTCAACCAATATTTAAGTTACTAGTATGTACAAGATAGTTCATGGGAAACATAGAAGGATATGAAGAAACGTAAAGTATTGCTCCTGCTTTCCAGGAGTCTAACAAGTAATCTAATTGAATTGGGGTTTGGGGTGGCATGGGAAATGGGATTCAATTTCAGTACCTTTCACTGTGTGGTCAGTAGGTGATTGCGATTGCGTAAATGAGTAGCCAGCTCTTAACTCCTTGACTGGTGTCCTTATTAACTTCAGAAAAAGGATAATCATCACACAGTGAAAGTCATAGTCACTTTTAGTTGAAATAGTTCCTATACTTGGACCCAGAAAATCCAAATATCGCCATCCTTTAACCTTATAAAGCAGGGTTATATTTCAACATTTTTTTTTTTTTGTATTAGACTTGTGATTTCATCCCTACAGGGAATTCTTTGAACTACTGCAGAACAGTACTTACTCTACAATTTATAGTCTGGAGTTACCAGGAGAACCTGAAAGGTCATTTAGTTTATCTAAGGTTACTCAGCTAGTATGAGGCAAAGGTTGGGCATAAATTCAGGTCTTCCTGATTGAGGGCAGCTCTCTATTCCAGGAAGCCACTGATGCTTCTCATGTCTACATTATGAAAATTAATAGTTAAAATTAAAACTTTTTAAAAAATTGGTTACTAAAGACAATTAAATTCCTCTAATAATACTGCAAAGCAGTATAACTTTGCAGCTAAGTACAGCGTTAAGAACCCATTTGGGTGATTTGGAGAGTGGTGCAATAGGTATTCTAAGAAAGGAGATATTAGTGTGATCTGGGTTTTTAAAACTGGAAAGGACTTTCTAGCTCATTTAATGCAATTCCCTCATTTTACAGATAAGGAAACTGGCCCTCATTAATTGTGACTTAATTGAGGTGATATGGGGAAATCAGAGATGAGCTCAGATTTAAACTCAAAACCAGCATGCTTTTTCATCACACTGAAAATCTCTCTGATTTAAGATACGGATAGGAGGGGAATGACGTTCCAGCTTTTAAATCAGCGTGGCTTGTCTCCGTGACACAGGCACGGAGAATGCGGCATCTGCATAGACCCTGGGTGTCTGCAGTGCATGTGGGCAGGGTTTTTGTTTTTTTTTTTTTTTTAAGAGGACATCCTCTGTGCCCTGGCCCATTGCAGATCCTCCTCCCCCTCCTCCATCAGAGGGCTCTCAGTCCGCTTGCAGCGCTGCAGCATCTGCGAGGGGGGACGCAGCGGAGAAGCAATGTAGCTTTCTTTGTTTCCCTTCCTCCAAAGCGCGGGGGGAATGGGGGAGGGAAGCTGCAGATAGGATCTCAGAGGCTGCTTAGTTAGTCCACACCCCTCCTTTTGCAGGGGAGGAAATTTACGCCTAGGGAGGCTGAGTCACCTTCCCAAGGTCACAGAGAGTAAGCTTCGTAAGCGGCATTTGAACCCTGGTCCTTTAGCCGCTGAGCCAGGGACCTGGCCATTGGACCCACAGCGAGTAGCAGCTGCAAGATGAGAGCGCTGGCCCCGCCCTCTTTGGAAAGGACCAGCAGTGCGGGGAGGGGGGGAAGGAGAAAGAGTCCTGACCACGTGACTCCCCTTCCCCAGCTTTTGGCATGCGGAGCCGGAAGCGGGAGCGCCTGCTCGCGCGCGCGCAGAACGTCCTTCCCTCCCCCCACCCCCTTCCGGCCCTTCTTCGCTCTTGCCCCGGTGCCCCTCGCTCCAGACCGCGTGCGTCCCCTCGCGCGTGCGTGCGTGCGTGCCGGCTGCCCCCAGTCCCTGGCCCGGCGGACCCCACGCGCCAGCCCCGCCTCGCCCTGTTGTCTTCTCCCTCAGGACTCGCGCTCCTCCCCACGCGCAGGCGGCCGCCATGTGCTCCCTAGCAACGGGCTTCACCGGTGGGTATCCCCCTTCCCCTTAGCAACAAGGCCTGCTGCGGCCTAGGCCTGGCCCGCGCGGCCGGCGGGGCTTGGGTCAAGGCCTGAGACTTTGTCTTGTGCTTGTGTCAGGCGCCAGGGGCCGGCTGCAGGAGGCTGAGGAGGAGGAGGCGCCCGCGTTGTCGGACAGCGGAGACGAGGCGGCCTGGGAGGAGGAGGAGGAGGAGGCCGAGGAGGAGGAGGAGGAGGCGGACCCCCGCCGCGAGAAGCAGCGGACCCCCTGCCTGTTCTGTGACAGGTTCGTTGGCTGGCCCCGCAGGAAGGGCCGGGTGAGGGCCCCGGGCTGCCAGGCCGAGCCTCAGTGTCCTCACCTGTCAAATACTCCTGCGGAACCGTAGTGCCTACCTCCCAGCTCGTGGTGAGGATGTATGTGAAGAGGCTTTGCCGCCTTAGAGCCCTGCAAGACCTGGGTTCAAATCCCACGCCAGAGACTAGGGTGTGACCCGGGGCAAGCCTCACTAAACTCCTCTGTTAGATGAGGGGGTTGGACCACGCGTGTATTATTTACTTGATCTCTGGCCTTTCTCCCTTGAGCCCCCCAAGTTCAAGTCAAGTCATCAAGCATTTAACAAGCACCTACTATGTGCTAGAGACCAGGGGATACAAAGAAACTAAAAAGGCAGCCCCTGCTCTCTAGGAGTTCCCACCTCAATGAGGAAGACAACCTCTAAACAACTATGTATAAACATCCTCTCTACAGGATAAACTAGCGATACTCTGAGGAAGGGGAAGCACTAAAATTAGGGAGCACCAAGAAAGGCTTTTTGCAGAAAGTGGGGCTTAAGCTGAGACTCTGACGGAAGCCAAGAGGCAGAGATGAGGAGGGGGAGAGCCCCAGGGCTGGGGGACAGTCAGGGAAGATACCAAGAGTTGGAAGATAGAATGGCACATGTAAGAAACATCAGGGAAGCCAGGGTCACTGGATCTCCCAGGGCTTGGGGTAAGGTGTAAGAAGACTGGAAAAGTCAGAGGGAGCTAGGGTTATGAAGGGCTTTGAACCCTAGAGGATTTTATGTTTAATCGTGGAGGTGATCGGTAGCCACTAGAGCTAACTGAATGGAGAGTGAGGGGAGGTTACAAGGTTACACCTGTGCTTTAGGAAGAATTGAGAACTAGACCCAAGTGGGGAGAGAGGCTTGTGGCAGGAAGACTTAACCAGGCTTTAGCGATAGACAGGAGTAAGGAGATCAGGCCCTGTACCAAGGGCAGGTTATGAAGGGCTTTAAAAGAAATGATTTTAGATTTAGATTACCTTGAGGTAATAGGGACCCAATGCAATTTATTGTGTGGGGGATAGGGTGCATCAGACCAGTGCTCTAGGATGATGGTGTTGATAGCTGAGTAGAGGATGGACTGAAGTGGGGAGAGACTTGAGTTCCCTTCGGGCTCTAATAGTACCCTACTGTCTACATGCTAGCCATAAGTATCTGCTGAGAGGTCTTTCTGTGATCAGCATCAGTCTTAGGAGACAGAATTGTGTGACCTCAAGTAAGTCATATAGTATCTCTGCCACTTATTAGTTGTGTGACTTTGTGCTTAATAAATGTCTTCTCTCTATACAAATATTTTGGGCTAGTCACTTTATCTCTCTAGGGCTGTTTCCTTAACTGTAAATGAGGGAATGAGCCAGATGACCTCATAAATTCCTTCTAGTTCTGATCTTAAGTCACTTTGCCTCTTTGGGCCTCAATATCCTACACTGTTAAATGGAGAGGTTGGATAGATAATCTTTAAGACTCTGTCTGGCCCTAAAAATGTCATATTTGAGTTCTGAAGATCAAATTGAGAGATAGTAATTATGATATTTTAATTCTGAGAGAGATTTGTCCTAATTAAGTTGCTACATCTATTGGTGCTTCAGTGTTGTCATGCTCTTTGTGCAAGAGAACACCTTTGTATAATGTGTTAAGCTCTCCTCTAAAGAGTTTTCTGAAGTAGGTATAGCTCAGTAGTCAAATCCTCCATTTCATGGATGAAGAAACAGATTCAAAGAGTTCTAGTCATTGTTTTTACCAGTGACTTGGGTGAAGACATAAAGAGCATGTTTATCAAGTCTGAAGATGAGTGATAAAATTGAGATTTTAAAAGTTTTTGGCTGACTAGAATGAAGGCTTGAATCAAATCAGATGAAATTTAATTGGGTTAATATAAATTTCTGCAGTAGGGTTCAGAAATTAAGATTGTACAAGTATTGATTAGGAAATGTGTAGTTCCATAACATGAATTCTGCCCTAGTTAACACTTTTGTAGTGTTTTGTTCAGTTCTGGTTGCCTCATTTTTAGGAATGATGTTGACAGAATGGACTGACTGTGTTGAAACTAGGACAATTAGGACGATGAAGTTACTTGAAACTACCCTAGAAGAATCATTTGAAGAAACTGGTTATCTTTAACCTGGAGAAGAGAAGACTTGAGAAAACATGTTTTCGAATATTTGAACTGTTATCATGTAGAAAAGAGATTGGACTTATTTTTGCTGGGTCCCAGGGAATAGAACTAAGAGCAGTGGGTAGAAGTTGCTTAGAGGCAGGGTTTAGATTGATATGTGAAGAAAGTGCTGTCCAAGGTGAGATGGTCTGCCTCTGAAGGTGGTACCTCACCGTCCCTGGAGGCCTTCTGGTAGATACTGGTTGACTACTTTTAGAGACATTGTAGAGGGAGTTCTGTTTTAGGTATGAGGAGCCTTCATTTGCTTGGAATTATGGCAATTAGAAATTCTAAGAGAAAATTTATCCTAGAATTAAAAAAAAAAAGGTGGGGCCCAAGCCATGATTTCAATGAGAAAAGAAGCCAAGTCATATTAGAAATTGGAATTTTCCAGAAAAATCCAGCCATTAAGCTGAAAGACTTAAGGGTAGGAGATTGGGGGGGGGAGGGGAATAAGCATTTATATCATACCTGCTACGTGCTAGGCAGTATGCTAAGAACTTTACAAATATCTCCTTTGATTCTCACAGCAACCCTGTGAGGTAGGTGCTGTTGTTATCCCAATTTTACATTTGAGGAAACTGAGGCAAATAGTGATTTAAGTGATTTGCCTAATGTCACACAGCTAAGTAGGTGTCTTAAAGATTTGAACTCAGGTCTTCCAACTCTAGGCCTACCCTTCCATCTACTCCTGTGCCCCGATAAGCATATGGAGACACACACACACACACACATACACACACACACATACACACACACACACACACACGTACATGCAAAAATGCATATATTTGTATCTTTTATATATGTATGTATATATTAGCTATCAGGGAATATTGGCAAAACAAAATGATTCATTTGATAGTGTGCATCCCCTCCTTGCCCTGCTATGGTAGTAATGCTAGGGGTATGAATACCTTCCATCCATAAGATTCTGTGGTGCTGTGACTTGTCCAAGTTCACCTGACTAGTAAATGTCAGCGCTGCTGCTCAAAATGTGGTCTCTTGGCTCTGTATCTGGTGCTTTTTGTTTTCCTTATGATGCCCCTCTATGAATAGTGCTGCCTTGTTACTCATTAGGATAATAGGACTTAGAGCCCAAAGTGATCTTCAAAGTTATCTCGTCAAGTACCTCATAGAAGTTAAATGATTTCTCAAGGTCATACAGTATATTGAAGAGCAAGTGTCAAACATATGTCCTCTGACTCCAGTTCTGTGCGCTTTCCACTATATCACACTCAGATGCGCACATCTGTTGCCTTGGGGTAGGTCTAATGAGTGCTACAAATCCTTAATTGGTGAAAAATTTTGCCGAAACTATGATTGATGCACATGTACTAAGCATATATGAGACATTTATCAGTTGTTCTCAGTAATGCTATTCAATATAGTTTACTTTCTACAAGGTCCTAGTTTTTGTGTCCTTCAGTTTTGCAAGTCACATAGTAAAGAACTTTGGACCTCACGATGTCCATGTACGTTTGGAATGCCAAGTAGGTTTGGAACACTACAAGATCATTTTGGAAGCATTAAAGCCCTGTGGGAATGTGCCAGATTAATAAATTGTGCTTTATACTTTTTTTTTTTCTAAAAGCATTTTGTGCCAGCCCAGAGCCTTTAAAAGTACAATTTGCACTTTGAAGAGAAGGGAACAATTTCAAGTAGAAAATATTTTTGAGTACTGCTGCTAGAGAGAGAGAGGAAAAAAAAGCTTTATGTGTCCAAGACATTTTGTAACAAACAACATTATGAAATACAAATTATTATCATTTTGAAGACAAATGAACTTTGGTAGTAAAAGGGCAAATATTTATATGAGTGCCAAATAAAACTCAGACCTGGTAATATGGTGTAGTGAGTGATAAGAATCCTGGACCATGATTCAAGAGATCTGGATTCTTGTCTAGGTTTTGCTGCTAACTAGCTGAGTGATGGTGGGCAAATTGCAACTAATATTGTGTGTTACCTTACCTCCAGATTAGATGATCTCTAAAGTTCCAGCTCTTAAATTTTGTGATTCTAAGGGCTAATTTTGAGTTGTAGTAAATTAAGATACTTCTACAAAAGTCCTACTTTGATGCCTTGTGTATTGGAGGTGACCCTGTGTTCTTGAAGCCTGTGCAAGTGAAAAGCAAGCCCTGGCAGATTCCAGCTAAACTGGAAAGGCTTCAGATATTATTTGAGCTATAGATTATTTTTGTTGTCTGAGAACCAGGCTAAATGTGGAGATGTTAATCACTAGAAAGTTGGAGAATTTTTGGCAACAGTAACTCATGAAAGAAAAAAAGCAGCAAAAAATTCCTCTCTGTCGGATGCCAACTCCTTTTCCAGTGATAGAGAGGTACTTAAGAATGGTGTGGTTGTTAAGATTGTTTGTAAGCATTAGTTTAACTGCTTGTATTGTGAATGAATGATCTTTGTCCAACAACCAAGAATTGAAGGAAAGGTCAAGGTCATCCTGAATTAAAAAAACAAACCAATTAAATTAACTACTACATTTTTTAAAAGTTGGCAGACTTGTTTGTATGATGGTACACTCAAAGGCAACAGTGAGAACCATCCTTTGGTGGGATGCTTGGCCGTCTTGTTTCTTCCTGCTCACAGTGAACACAACCTCTAGGTCAGCACTGATTCCCTTTGTCCCCCATTCCTCTCCTGGTGGAGGGAATCTCGTTTCCCTTCTCCATTCTGTTCCTTAGATTCACTGCCCAAAATTACAAACTCTTGGGCTTTGTCATCGATGCTGCACCCTTGGGGCCTTTGGGGTTTCCAAAAGTCTGCTCTGAAGCTGAACTCTTCTATTACATAAGTTAGCTTTCCTGATTATAGTGTTAGGTCCTTGAGATCAGGGACTTTTTCTGCTTTATGTCCTTAATATCTGGCACATAGTAAGCTCTTAGTAAAGGTTTATTTATTCAGAGACTGAACAAATTGAGAATTCTGTTCCCCATAAAGTAAATTTCTAGAGGTCAGGGCTGTTTTGTTTTGGTCATTGTCCCAAGTGCATAGCACATAGTACAGTCTTTTTTTTCTGTGAAGCAGTGAGGTGAAATGACTTGCCCAGGGTCATACCGCTAGTTAAGTGTCAGTTGTCTTAGGTCAAATTTGAACTCAGATCTTCCCAAATCTGGGACCAGTGCTCTATCCACTTTGCCATCCAGCTGCCCCCTCACATAGTACACTCTTAATCATACCTGCACAACCTGAGGAGGCCACTTAGGGCCCTCTGGCATGGCAAAGGATTTTGGGCAGCCCTCAAAAATGTAGAGGGTACATTTAAATGGATAATTATGGATCCATACATATGGATACAATTTAAATAGATATATTCTCCACATTTTTCGAGGGCCCTCCCGAAATCCTTTGGCGTGCCAGAGGTCTGTAAGTGGCCACTGCAGGTTGTGCAGGTCTGCTCTTACTAAATGTTTGTTGCGTTGAAGAGCCTGCAAACTAATTGAATGTTTACTTCGATACTTGATGACTTCCACACAATTGGGGAAGAAGGTGGACATTTAAATAAATTTGTGATCTTTTCAGCCTGGGAAGGAAAATGTGTTTTGAGATAAAGAAATACAAGTTCCCTTAAGCTTATAGAAGAATCAGAATCCTTACATCATATTTAACAAACTTTCTTCAAGAAGAGTGTCAGGAGAAGTGGATAGAGTGAGCTCCCAAAAGGAAATTAATTATATTTTGATAACATTGCATCAATTGGTTATAGATGTGAGAGTCATTCCAGAATCAGCTGACTGGCAGATGAAATGGACTGGTCAAAACAAAAGTCAAAACCAGAACCAAATGAGAAGAAAGGGTAAAGATTTAAATAAAACATGCCACACTCTCAGAAGAATTACAATTCCAGGTGACTTCAAAAACAGTGAAAGTCATGTGAATGTAAGCAGGAAGCTATTAGCAATGAAGACTTGCAGGCGACAAAAGATACCCATAAGAATGTTTAGAGTAAGAAAAACAGATGTCCAGCCTGATTGTTGCACTGGTATATATTAAAATGTTAAAAGAACTGGAGTATGGCCTTTAGCACAGGAGATGAATCCTTTGTGGAATATTAATGGAAAGACAGGGACAATGATTCCACAATATGGGAAGGACTGGTAACGATTGTGAACTTCTTGTCAGTGGAGGTGGTACCTATTTTGGAGAGATCACAGATTCATTGAAATATAAGATGATTTAATATTTAGAGCAATTAGGTGACCCAGTAAGTAGAGTGTTGGATCTAGTGTCAGGAAGACCTGAATTCAAATCCAGCCTTAGACATAAACTGTCTGTGTTCTGAGCAAGTCACTTCACCTCTGCCTCAGTTTCCTTATCTGTAAAATGGGAATAATAATAGTACCTGCATCCTAGGGCGTTTGAGAGGATTAAATGAGATAATATTTGTGGGAGTTTTGGAAACAAAATGCTATATAAATGCTTGTTGTTGTATCCCCTTGAAGACTTTGCTTGCATTTCAGGTTATTCACTTCTGCTGAAGAAACATTTTCTCACTGTAAGACTGAACATCAGTTTGATATTGATAACATGGTCCATAAACATGGTAAGTGTGTTTTTTTAGAAAGATTTTTTTTTGTTTTGAGATTAAGGTTAAACATCAGTTTTTTCACCTCTTTATAGAATTTCTCCAAAGTAAAACTTTAAGAGTGACCACCTGTTGTGTCATAGAATTAAAGTATTTTTGACAGTTGGACAGAGATTATAGATTGATAATAGTTTATGGTCTAAAATCCATACTGCAAGTCAATTCACCTTTTAGTCAGTTATACAGGTGTTCCTCCAGAAAAATGGGTCTTTCATATGTTTCAGTGCTTATTTTTTGTGTTACAGTTTAAAAAGAAAGAAAGTTGTAAACATAGATTTTATGTATGAATTAGGATATGAAAGAGCAAGGGCAGCAGTGAGGATTGGGATTTTTGAGGTATGAGCTAGTCTTTAGAATGAAAACCTTGGGAACTAGTTCAAAGCATAGATTACATTGATCTTCAGGTCATGATTTGAACTTTGAGAAATATTTTGTTTTCTGCATTGATCACCAAGAGACTAAGGAATACACAGCAGACATAAGTGAAGAGAAGCCAGTAGAGAGATAAAGTAATTGCTGGAAAGTAGGGAAAGTAAAGTGTTACACACAAACGCGCGCACGTGCGCGTGCACATGTGTATGCATGTATGCATACATATACATACATACATGTGTATGTACACACATGTAGGATTTCATAATTTTGAAAAGGATATTTGTAGTTCATGTATTTAGAGCATGCCAAAGGGCCAGCCTCACTACTTGTGCTCACGATTCTACTTCTCTCCTGGGAACTTGCTTCCTCATTTATTCCTTTTCCTTCCAGCTCTCCTTATCAGCTGGCTCTTTTCCTGTTGCCTACAAACAGGTCCATATGTCTGACATGCTTTAAAAACTCTTACTTGATCCTACCATCCCTTCATGCTGTCATTTTATATCTCTTTGTTTCTTAAATTAATCTTTATTGTTATCTTTTATATTTACATCATCTTATTTTACTCCTTTATCCTTCCCTCTTCTCCCTTCCAGAGAACCATTCTTTGTTACCAGGAGTGTTTTCTAAAAGAAGAAAGGGGAAGAGGAAAAGAAATCAGATTATGCTAATACATTGGAAAAAAAAATCTGACAACATATGCAGTTTTTCACACCTGTGAACCTTCTACCTCTGCAAAACCATGGGGAGAGTGGTCTTATATCTCTTCTTTGGTTTTTGTACTCTTGCAACATTCATTTTCATCTTTTTGTGGTCATTGTTCCTCCCATTTGCATCTTTGTAGTCATCACATTTCATACATATATCATACATCTTGGCTCTCTTTATCTTACTTTATATCAGTTCATTTAAGTTTTTTCATGCATCTCTGTATTCATCGTTTCTTACCATGTAGTAGTATTCCATTGCATTCATATACCACAATTTGTTTAACCATCCCCAGTGGATGGAATATCTACTTAGATTCCTAGTTCTTTTCTACCACAAAAAGTGCTGATATCAATATTTGACTATATGTATATGGAGCCTTTGTTGTTTTAATTTTTTTCATTCTGGACTTAAACATTGAAAAATTAACATTTCTGTATATAAAGTAAAACATGAAAAGATTGTATATAAATCCTCTAATCTCTATTACATACAGCTTGCTTTAAAAATATGCATACACACGTGTATATATATGCACATAAAATAAATTCAACATTTTTCAAAGGTGTCCTGCTCATCTGGCTCCCCCTCCCTTTTTTAAAAAAATTAATTGTTTTCAATTAATGAGCTTTTATTTCTCTCCCACTCCCACCACAACTGAAAGCAAACTCTTCTAACCCTTCTACCTACTGGCCTCCTTTCATGTAGGTGACTTACTGCCAGGGCATCCATTTTGGGAAGGATTATAGGTTAGTCAACTTTCATTCTCTTCCTTACTCTGTTTCTAACTTTCTGAACTTCAACCACCCCCACCCTCCCTTTTTTTGTCTTCCTTTTATGTGTTGTCTTCTGGGCCAGGCCTCTCTCCAGTGTCACAGACCTTTTAAGTTTTCTTGGTCTTGAAAAATTTCTCACACTCAACCTTTTGTTGGTAGAGCTTGAATTTTATGAGTTTTATATATAAGCTAATAAATTTCATTAGACTTAAAGTAAGTGAATGACCTAATTAATAGTATTTATAAATTCCTGGGCAGAAGTGTGAGGGTGTGGCTAATACACATATGAAGAGCAAACAAAAGAAGGAAACTTTTTAGATTTCATATTCCTTATATTGGGGAAATCACAGCCATTGGAGAAGTGGTTATCCTAAGGATAGATGTAATATGAAGTATTTTGAAAGTACCTTAATACCAACAATATTCCTTTGAAAAAAATTGGCATTATTTGCAAGAGGAGTATAATACTAAATCTTTTTATTTACTTTGTTGGATCTGGGAAAACATGACTTATCAAATTACTGCTCCAAAATTATTTAAAGGCATTATTTAAAGTTGTTTGGAGGGGAGTGTTGAGAGAGCTGTCTGTAGTATTTCTTCTATTCCACCATTTTGGCTGAAACCCTGGGTATCAGAGATGTTTAAAACGAATATGTTTTGTCCCAATTGCCTGCTTTATCTGTTAGCCTAGCTGGTGTGACTTTGTAAAAAAAAAGTGATTCATTTTCACGTAATCAAAAGTTCCTATTTTATCTATTATAATTGTTTCTGTCCCTTATTTGGTCAAGAACCAGGAATAGCTATGAAAGCTACTTGATCTAGTCTCTTCTGATTTTTTTCTGTTTTTACCATCTACTTTTTTTCTCAGTTTTGTCTAATCTGACTTCTAATCCCACCTCTGGACTGAAACTGCTCTCTGCAAGGTTCCAACGATCTCTTAATTGCTAATTCCAATGGCCTTTCCTTGCTCTTCATTCTATTACCTCCCTGCTGCTTTTGATACTGTTAACCACTTCTCTTCCTGGCTACTGCTTCTTTGGGTTTCATAACTTTTTTCATAACTCTCCTCTTGGCCACTCCTTCTTAGCCATATTTACTGGATCTTCAACTTCTTGCCCTTTGTTTGGGTATTCTCACAGTTCTGAATTTTTTTCTCTTCTTCCTTAAGGAAACCACTAAAGCTCATAACCTTGAAATTATCCTTGACATTTTTCTCTTTACCTTTTCTCTCTTCTCTCCCCACCCCAATACCATCAGTTGCCAAGTTTTATTGCTTCCACCTTCATAATATCACATTTATCTGCCCCCTTTCTTCCATTCATATATTCTCAACCCCAGTTCAGGGCCTCATTATCTGATCTCATTGCTTCCTATCTCTTCCACCCAAATGTCAAGCTAAGAGTAATAATAAAACACAGATCTGACCATGTGCTCCAACCCCCTCCCCCCCCAAAAAAATCTTCAGTGGTAGATTGTATAAGGCCTTAAATTCCAGGTCAAGAAGTTTGTTTTATCCTGAGACAGCTTATGTATTCTAGTTAAGCTGGAATACAGTTAAGGAGCAATGAAGGTTAGAAAATTAGTGTCACTTCTAATGTCAACTGACAGTGAATTTTTTCTAGATCATGTGTGTTTTAATAAATAAGCGGAATGTTAGAACATCAGGAATCTATGATTTTCCTGAAATTCAAACAACCTTCACCAATTCAAATTGCAGATGTCTTTGATTTCAGTAGATAAGTCTTAGTTGACTGAGGACGAGAGAGGTTAAGTAACTCATTCAAAGTGATCCATCTTGGTAAGCATCAGAAGTGGAATTTGAACCTAAGTCTTCCTGATTCTAAGCCCAGACATCTATCTTCTTTGCCATAGTCTTCTCAAGTGAACAATAACATTCTAAAATTGTTTTTCTCTAATACTGTATATATGATACTCACATTTTTTTAGATCCTGCAACTTGTGAATTTTACTAAGTATTAAAATTACTATTTCCTACTTTTTAAATTTAAAATAATTTGAATGGCAGAAATATGTGAGTATAGAAATAGTATTGATTAATGTTACGAATCTCTACAGAAGAACAGTTCAGTTAAATAATGCATTATGGTAAGATTTGTATTTTCTGTATTGTAAGATTTTGTATTATCATTAGTTTGTTTTTTCTGCAGGACTTGAATTTTATGGATACATTAAGCTAATAAATTTCATTAGACTTAAGGTAAGTGGATGACCTAATTTACAATATTTATAAACTCCTTAGAAGTGTGAGGCAGATAAAGAGCAAACAAAAGAACAAAACCTTTTCGATTTTCTGTTCCTTATATTAGGGAAATCATAGCCTTTGGAGAAGTGCTTATACCAAGAATCAATGTATGTATGAAATATCTTAAAGTATCTTTAAGTAGCTTAACAACAATTCTTTGAAAAAGAAATTGGTATTTTTTGCAAAAGGAGTGTAATATTAGATCTTTTTATTTACTGCGTTTGAGCTGTGGAAATACATAACTTATCAAATTCAGAATGTGAGACCAGGGTTATAGTGACTTTTAGGAACCTGTTAAGCTTGATGAATTTTAAGTAAACATTCATTTGTTCGAATGACTTACATTAAGTTCTTTCTGTGTGTACTGTGCCTGGTGCTAGGGCTGTTACGTAATACATAAGATAAGGCCTTCATGTAGAGCTCAACCACAATTTGATTTCATTAGTAGTTTAGGGATTTTGGTTACAATTTCTTTATTGCATGTAGGTGATACCAGTTTTACACTGGTATCGCTTTTGGTCCACACTCCTACAGGGAAGAAAATTAAACGTTAGCTGTTTATTAGATAGCAGAAAAGTATCAACTGCCGTTCAGAAGGTAGTTATCCTGACAGCTTTCAGAAGTGGGAAGTAGTAATTGTGAACTCAATCTGTTCTGAAAGACAATATAGGTTTCTTTTTATTAACATTTTGGTTTTTTAAGTAGGATTTCATGATTAAAAGCATTTTAAAGTAACATATAATTGTTTTTCTCTCTAGAATCCAACTTCAGAGTATTTGAATTCATTATGCAATCCAGTGCCTTGGGAGAAAGAGGAGTATTTGAAACCGGTATTAGAAGATGACCTTTTACTTCAGTTTGGTAAGATTATGGAATTATAATGACATGAATTTACATGGCATCATTCATCCTTACTTTTCTATTTGTTGTAGCAGTAATTACAATTTTGTGTTTGAGAAATTTGAACAAAGCATACTGAGAAGATATATCACTGGGTGTGGGGCCCCAGTGGTTACGGTAGTTGATTGCTAATTTGTGCTCTGAATGGATTCACATCAGTAAATCACTTGTGATTTTAGGGTACCAATGTAATAGAGTGGAAAAAGTACAAAAGTCAGAGTCAAAAGATCTGACTTCGAGTCCTATTTACCATTTGCTAATTGTAACTTTTGGCATTATACCTTCTTGAGTTTCAGTTTCGCCTTTACCTTGTTAACCTTTAATGTGTGTGACCATAGACAAGTCACTTAATTTCCTTAGAATCTCTTCTAGCTCTTGATCTAGGATCTTGTAAAGATCCTCACATTTGCAGCTGACACAAAACTAGGAGGAATAGCTACATTGGATAACAGAGTCAGGACCCCAAAAGACCTACATGTACTAAAATGGTGGTCTGAATAAAGTTGTATGAAATTAATAGAGATAAATTTGAAGTTGATTACTTGGGTTAAAAAGTATAAAATTGGAGAAATGTGGCTAGACAACCTTTCCTGTGGAAAAAGATCTGGGACTCATCTTTAGTGGACTGTAGTTGCTCTTAGGGTATGAATAAACAATGTTAGATAACTAAAAAAGTTATTACTTTCTCAAGCTACATTAAGAAAGGCATAATCTACTGCACATGGGAGGTCAGTATCCCACTGTACTTTGCCCCAGTTAGAACACATTTGCATTATTGTCCTCAGTGCTGGGTCTTGAATTTTAGGATGGACATTGAATAACATAGCTAGAGAGTTCCCCAGAAGGGTGGCCAGAGGGAGAGGCCTTGAGACCAGACCATGCAGTGAGCAGTAAAAGGAATTGGGCATTTTATCTTGGAGCAGAGATGACTTAAGGAAGACATATTAATTGTCTTCAAATATTTGAAAGGCTCTCTGATGGAAGGGGAATTAGACTTACTTGTTGTGTTTGACCGAAAAGGTTAGAACTTGGAGGAATGGGAAGAAGTTGCAGAGAAGGACACTGAGGTTTCAAGTAAAGACAGGTGTGTGTGTGTGTGTGTGTGTGTGTGTGTGTGTGTGTGTAAAAATACACATATGTACATACACGTAAGTAAACAATTAATGCTGTCCCCAAATGTCATGTGCTGCTTGGAATGGCAGTGAGTTTCCCTTCACTGGTTATCTTCTGTCAAAGGCTAGATGACCCCTTGTTGAAGAATGTTGTGCAGAGGTTTCTTGGTTAGTTACAGTTTGGACTATATGACCTCCGGGGTCTATTCAAATTGCCACTGTTGACAAGCTGGATTGCCCACTCCCAACCTTATTGCCATTGCCCCTTTTCCTTTTCCCCTCCTGTCTGAACACTGACCCTGTATCCCCACCCATGCCAGAAGGAACCAGATTCCTTCTGTACTCCAACACTTAGTTCCACTCCACCCTTCCCAGGGACGGTGGGCCTCACCTTTGTAGGGGAGACATATTCTAAACATTCCTAGTCCTTGCCAACCACCCTGCAAATGCATTTTCCTACAAGTATTGTCTTCTCCCACTATGGTGTGAGCTTCTTGAGAACAGAAGCTATCTTTTCTTTTTGCATCCTCAGTACTTAGCACAGTTTTTAGCACGTAGTAAGTGCTTGTTAAGTGTTTTCATCCATTCAAATAACTGATAGTATCACCAAAAATAGTTATTCACTGTACATAGAGGGCAGTATAGATAGAAAGTGGTATAAGATGTGGCCTTTGCCCTCAAAGGATCTTAACTGTATAGCTGGGGAGTCCTTTCCATACGTTAAAAATATAGGGGCAGCTAGGTGATAGCTGTGTGACCCTAGGCAAGTCACGTAACCTCAATTGCCTCAACAAAAGAGAAAAAAAAAAGGCGTTATAAAAATATATAACAAAGTACTATGTGCTATGTGCCATAAGAGTCAGGACCCATTGGCTCAGACCTTAGCGCCTATGACCTAAGCACACCTTAAGAGACTGGGGAAAGAGGCAGAAGATGTGTGGGATGTGACTTTTGCTGAACTTGTATATCACCAGTCATCACTGCTTGACCCTTTGCTTGAGAATTTGGGCAGACACCATACTTGGTGGTAGCACAGTCCAGGGCACAGGGAACTCGAGAGAGGTAATTAATCTTCTAAGAACCAAACTTCCCTGCCACAAAGAGTGTTCACTCTGTTCCCTTACTCATCTTCCTTCTGTAGCACACAGCTCAACTACCACAATGTAGCCTGCCACTGAGACATTCAGGCTTTACCTGTGTTAAATCTGTTTTCATGCTGTCGTGGTGTGTTAGGGAAATTGGTATCCTGCTTAGAGATATTGACAATCATTATTGCCATTCTACTCTCTAGCTAAACTGTCCTGTCTTTCTGATTATATTAACAAAATAGTGAGTATTAAGAGGAGCTGAGATGAAGGAATGATCACTCAAGGCTGGGGTGATGAGGAGGAAGGCCTCACAGATGATTAAGAACTTGAGTTGTATCTTGAGTGGAAGACCATTTAACATAGCAGAATAGGGTGAAAAAAGTGATTCTAGTAATAGAAGATAAGTGAGTCTGGAGAGATAAGCAAAAGTCATATTGTTTAATGTCTTCAATACTAGTGAATTTAGATGTGATTTTTTTTTTTTGAGTGCAGTGGCCAGGCCAACATAAAAATGCTGAATTTGTAGTGATGGTAGGACCCTCTTATAATGATACTAAAAATACAGTCATTCTTTAATATGTCGGATATTGTTGTTCTTTGACTCCTCTTTAAAGATACATCTTGTTAGGCTGCTAGCTATATCCTGGTCATTGGTGAGACTAACAGAACCTGATTTTTTTTTTTTTTTTTTTTTTTTAGGTTTTGAGCTGGTCCTTTTGGCCCTACCACCTGGGCATTGGGACAGATAGGCCATTTATTGCTTAGCTGCTCTAGTTAAGAGCTTGGGCATGGTGAAACAGGGAACTGAGGTTCTTACTCTCTTCCATTGCCTCTCTGAAATCTGACATAAGGTTTTCATTATCATCAAATTGATAGATTCAGGGAACAAAGAGTTTCTACAAGCCTGAGTCTTTAGGTGACTATTAAGTTTACTGTTAAATTTTCTTTGTTAAATTTTAAAATCTGAATTTTCTTATGTTATTTCTGTCACTAATATTGCCATTACTTAGTGTAATTATCTTAATTGTAGCTTGAAGTTTTTGTTTTGCTATAGTCTATTTAAACCAGGGGTGGGAAACCTTTGGCCTTGAGGCCGCATTTGGTCTTCTACGTCCTCGGGTGCAGTCTTTTGACTGAGTCCAGGTTTTACAAAACTAATCCTTTTACTAAGGGGATTTGTTCTGTGAAGTTTGGATTGGTCAAAGGGCCCCACTTGAGGACGTAGAGGGCCACATGTGGCCTTGAGGCCACGGCTTCTCCATCGCTGATTTAAACCTTGAAGCTGATTTGCATAATCCTGAAAAAATTTGAAAGCAGAATGTAAAATGAACAATGTAACATTGAATAAATGTGTGAAAGGTGTTTATTAAGCACTCAGTGTGTGTCAAGTACTTTTCTAAGCACTGGGAATACAGACATAAAAGCAAGTTCATGTCCTCAAGGAGCTTATCTTTTAATGAGAGAGACAAACACATATAAAAAAGTGAAGACCAGAAAAGCAAATTATAGTCTTGCAAGTTACAAAGATTGTGGGTGGTAATTTGATTACAGTTCTGAGAGAAAGGGAGTGGGGGAGAAAGTGGCACTAAGAGGGTACTCCTTTGATGGAAGAGTAAAAAAAAAAAACTAGAATGAAGAGTTGGATGTATTATCCCAGGGAGCATAGAGCTAAGTGACTTACTTCCTCCTAGGCATGATCTTTTGGTGGGTAGAGCAGCAGCAGAACGTAGCTAAGAATTGAACAATATTCAGTGACCAATGTTCCTATATTGACCCTAGTTATAAAAGTTATCTGGAAGCATCACACTGGTTTAAATTGAATTTTAGACAAAAAAAGAGAGAGAGAAGAAAATGTGGTATACATATTCCTTTACTTGCCTGAAATTTTTTTTCAACATTAGATGAGAAATTAATGATGTAAATTGGGTAGAACTTTCCAGCTTTGTTAAATGATGTTTGGAGAATTGCTGGTTGTGTAATACTAGTGAAAAATTTTTGCATGAGTAAAGAAAGAATCAGATTTTATGGAGTTTTTCTTTGAGAGTTGAAGAACCATCAAAGAATCATGGAATCCTATAATTTTAGAACTGAAACAGATTTTTTGAGTGTGTGGTCTAATCCTCCTTAAGCTTCAGATAAAGGAATTGGTGCTCAAAGAAATGAGAATGACATAAAACATGTCTTAGCTGGCATCAGAACTGAGGCTGAAACCTGCCTCCTGGCTTCCTAGTCCAGCCTTGTTATCACTATATCAATTTCATAAAAAACTCATTGTTTGTAGAATTAGTGGCCAAATATAATAAAACTGCATGTGCGATTGTTTTAGCTGCACTAGTGAGCAAGTAAAGTATAAAAATGTCAGTCTGCTACTTGTATAGAGTTTAATGAACAGAATTAGAACAATTTATACAATGATAACATTATAGAGAAAACAACTTTGAAAGACTTTAGAATTCTCATCAATATAATAATAAAACATGAATCCAGAAGGATAGAGGTGAAACACTGTTCATTTCCTGACAGAGATGATGAATTTAAAATTCAGAAAGAAACCTACTTTTTTAGACGTGGCTAATGTGGAAATTTGTTTTGCCAGACTATATAGATATATATTGAGAGATTTGGATTTTTTGTTTGTTTTTTAAATTTTCTCAATTGGGATGGAGGAGGTAGTGGGAAGGACAGACTAATTAAAAAAAAAACTTATTTAAAAAATTTTAAATAGAGTTGGAAGTAGAGTTTTGCCATTGATATATACACTATTTAGATACTTTACTAATTAAATATCTGTGGTTATATCCGTCTCTTTAATAAGGTCAATGTTGGGGTCATAGTAGACACTCTCTGAATGTTTGTTAGTTGATAACCAGTTTGGATGAGATGATCTAAAATTGTCCATGTATTTCTTTAGATGTAGAAGATCTTTATGAACCAGTGACAGTCCCATTCTCGTACCCCAATGGGCTCAGTGACAACACCTCTGTTCTTGAGCGGTTGAAGCACATGGAAGCCAGAGCACAGGCTGCTGAAGCAGCATTAGCTAGAGCCCGGGAAGACCTCCAGAGAATGAAGTAATTTAATTAATAATGGGAAACTCTTCTTAAGTATTTATAATGGAAGCATAAAATTTTAGATCTACAAGGTATTTTAGAGATCAACTGTTCTTAGCCCACAGTCCCCCCACTCTACAGTGAGGACTTGTTGAATTGAATTGAATCAGTAGCTTGAATGGCCAAGTGACATCATAGGCCTCAGATCAATGATTACTGGGATTTGGCAGGCCCATCAATTTATAATTGTTAAATACAGAGTTGCCTAAATGTCCTTATTCAGGAGAAAAGTTTCTCTGCCCTCTTTGGGGTCTAAGTGGGAAGGACCCACATATCTAGTTTTTAAAATTGAGACTGGTTCCAGCAAGTTTGAAGAGACATCCTGTGAACATAGGTTTGAGTTTTTAGCCATGTTTCCAAATGAAATCTTCTCTAACTCACCTTGCACAGATAATTTATTTAAAAAAAAAAAAAAAGAAGAAGAAGCAGGAACTGGGGGACACTGCATGTACCTGCTTTATCTCTGATGGGAAGGCCCAGAGCAAACGTGAGCAGAAAAGTAAAATCCAAGATGTGGATGCATGACTGTTATTCAGATAGTGGGGTTAAACTAGAATTGGGGACTTTTAAGCTAATTTACAGGCCAATTATTGAACTATTTTCTGTCATAACTAGATAATACATATTAAAGTATACTTTCAGCTCTAATTCACACCATCTATAAAATTATTATGCATAGCTTTTTTCATTTTGCAAAAAAAAATTAAGTGATGAATAATAAGACGAATAATTAGATAATTTAATTATCTAGGTTCCTTTTTTTTTCTTCTCTCAAGTGGATATTATTCAGTATCTTTCAACATTTTTAGCTGACTACGTCTTAGGTACTTTTTAATCTCATATTTTACAGATAGTGCCTTTGTCTCTGTGATAAGGAAACTGAATTTTTGCAGTTGGGGGTTGTGGTCTTGTGTTAGTGTATATACATATAAAAATTGCTGCTTTATTTAGTCTCATCTTGTGTCCAGCGTTCCCTATTTTAGCCCTATTTCCTCTTTAAAAAATGTTGTCCAGGAAAATAACTTGGTTTGACTGAATTTTCGAATGCTGCTATTTAAAGTCTAGGCATAAGAGAAATAAATCACAATTAATTATTAGAAAAGTAGAAAGGATGAGTTACTTAAGTTGAAAAGTCAGTTAAGAGCCTGTAGACTGCAGTTGTGCTTTTTAACTTCGTTATTTAGAGAAGAAATGTGTACACTGCTGCACACAATGGCGGTTAAATGTGTTACTACTTCTGGGACAGTAAGGGTGGGGTGGGGGGATTTCAAATGCTTATGACTGTGATTTTTGCTATTGTCAAGGCTTAGTGCACTCCTCACTCCTCCCCTGCTCCCAACCCTTTTCCCTTGTTCATGGTCCGGTAAACCTGTCTCACGGGTATGTTTCAAATTGATTACAGACAGTTTGCACAGGATTTCGTGATGAGCACAGATGTCAGAACCAACTCGTCATCAACCACTGCCGTTGCGGACCTTAATGAGGATGAGGATGGTGTTTATTTCAGCTCGTATGGGCATTATGGGATACACGAAGAGATGCTGAAGGTTAGGAAAGGAGCAAAACTGAGCCAAATTTGTGTTGGTGAAAGAGTGGAATGATGCAGGCTCATTCTCTTCAAATATGTTTTAAGACAGCTGCATTTTTAACTCCTAAGATACTAGATAGCTTGTCTTGGGATAAAAAGAATACCAGAGAATAAAAGCAGTTTGTGAATTCAGCAGTGATGATGTCCTTAAAATTTTTTGGAATTAGTTTTTTTTTTTGAAAACTGAATATTAGGGAGAAAAGGTATTAATATTAGTCTTCCTGAAAATAAGTTAATTTGTGTGGTTCTCCTTATATTTAAAAAAGAAAAAAAATTCTAAATACTAGTTTATTTTAATTGACTAAAAGTAGTTCTTTTGTACCAAATTTTTATTTTTCAACATTTCTGCAAAATTTTAGAAATCTGCAACATTCTATCATCCTTTGTAGATTTCAATCACATAGTGTTGCAGAGTTGTATAAATTTGCCAGTCAGTTATTTGAAATCTGTATCATCTCCAATTTTATACTGCATTAATTAGTGTTCTTAATTTTAATGTCTAAATTTCTGACATATCTCCTATTGTGTGTATGTTTTGTCAAAATGTGATACTGTGGCTTTTTTAAAATGAAAAAACCTTGATTTTAACTTGATGAAACTGAAAATTCCCAACAAATATAATACAAAGAAATTTTAGTGCAAAGAATGTTAATATTTTTAGGCCTTTCCCTCCATGAAATTTAGATGTTAACATTAATTTTTTTTTTGGTTAAACTACTTCCATTTCAAGTCCTTCTTTAAAAGGATATTTTATTGTAATTAATTTATTTATTTTGGTGAGGCAGTTGGTGTTAAGTGACTTGCCCAGGGTCACATGGCTAGTGTCAAGTGGCTGGTCTGATACGGATTTCTACTCAGGTCCTCCTGAATCTAGGGCCAGTGCTCTATCCACTGTGCCACCTCACTGCCCCCTAAAGGATTATTTTAAATCAGAAGACTCAGGTTTCAAAAGTTTGGGGTCTTAGAATCAATAAATCATTTTAGTGAGTTCTATATAATTTTTATGAATTAATTGTTTATCATTACAATGTGGGAACTGGTAATTCATGAAAAGTTGTGATTATTTGTATTAGGGGTCTTTTACATCTGGCAAGCATTTTTACTGTCATGTCAAAGTGGGTTGTATTAGGGGTAAAATGGTTTCACTGTGATTAACAGGTTCCCCCCCCCCCCCCCCACCAAACAAACAAAAAAAAAAGTCCCCTAACCATTTATTTTCAATCAAGAATTTACTAAAGCTCAATACATTGTGTTTGGGTGTTTGGAACTGGTGATACGAATACTAAAGTGAGACAGTACTACCCTCAAGGAATTTACATTCTACTGGGGGAGAATTATGTTCACAACCAAGTTAAATACAAGATATGTTTGAAATCAGTGCAGCATACCTGGTGGATAGGAGTGCATTAACAACATCAGGGATTAGGAGGTGACCAGTGAGCTGAGTTTTAAAGGGAGTGAGGGGTTCTGAGAGATACATTGAGGAGAGAAGGTGCTTTAGGCTTAGGCGCAGCAGTGCCGGGACAGGTGGAGATGCAGTCAGTCACCAAGTAGGCTCATTTGGCTGGAGCATCGGTTTCCAGGAGTAATGTTTCATCATTCTGAAACTAGGCTGGAGCCAGTTTGTGAAGGACTTTATCTAACAGTCATTCAGCAAACATATATTAAGTGCCTACTATTATCCAGGTACTCTACCATGCCCTGGGCACACAGACAAATATTCCCTACTTGCAGGCCAAACAGAGTAGCTTACATTTTATCCTAGAGGTAATGGGGAGTCACTGAAGCTTCTTGAACAGAAGAGTGACCTGGTTAGGCCTGTGATTTCACAATATCACTTTGGCAGCTATGTGCAGGATGGATTAGAGTACGAAGAAGCTGAATACAGGGAGAACAATGAGGAGATTACTGCTCTAGTACAGGCAGTGGGTGGTGCTATGGATCTGGAATAGGTGGTGACTGTGGGAGCTGAAGAAAGGGTAGAGTAGATGTTGTGAATGTATAATTGACAAGAGTTGGCAGCTAGTTGGATGTGGGAGTTGAGAAAACATGAAAAGTCAGGGATGACTCCTATATTGCGAACTTGGGTGAGTGGAAGAATGATGGTGTTCTTGACATAAATTGGAAAGTTGGAAAGAGCAGAAGGTTTGAGGGGAAAGTTGAGTTTGAAATATCTGTGAGATATCCTGATGGAAATAATATTCAGCAGGCATTTGGATATCTTGGATTGTGCATTTGGGAATCATTAGCATAAAGGTGATAGCTTAACCATTAGAAGCTGTTGAGATCCGAGGAGGCAGGGAGGAGCGAAGGGAGTGAGGAAAAGGAGATCATGATAGAACCTCAGGGCACCCCTGTGCATAGGAGACAGGAGAATGAAGAAGTGATGATTCTACAGAAGAAACTGAGGCACAATGAAGACCTGTTCCAACACATTAAGCTTTCCTTTAGAATTCAGTTAAATTTTTAGCAAATTCCTACTGTGTACAAAGGTACTGTGTTAGCTGTAGGGAATGCACAGATAAAACTTAGCCTAGTCCTTGACCTCAGGGATCTTGTGCTTAAGGAGTCCTGGAGTTGGAAGAGCCCCAGAGGTCATCTAGGTTTGAAATCTATGCCTGAATAAAAACAGCATTACACACCATGCCTTAACAAGTGATCATCCAGCCTCTGCTTGCAGACCTCCAGGGACAGAAACCTTGCTCCCTCACAAGGCAGTTAAGGACACCTAATTGTTAGGAAAAGGAAGATTTTCCTTACATCAAGCTGTTTCTGCCCCTTTGTGACCTCCACTCAGTGTTTCCAGTCTGTCCAATACTTCTTCTATAGATTCCTGTCGTTTGTCTTTCCTACTTCTGCACCTGTCTTTCCCCTCTCCCTTTCCCCACACCCCCCTTTTCTAATTTCTTTAACCTGTCCTCACATGGCATTATCTCCTGCACCTTTACTATTCTTCTTATCCACCTTTGGATATGCTGCATTGCTAGTAGACTTCCCAAATGTGTCACCCAGAACTGCAGACAACAGTTCCGTTGTGGTCTGATCAGAGCAGAGTATGTTGGAACTATTACTTTTCCTGTTCTGTGTTCTATGCCTTTTTTTGTGTAGCCTCTGATCAGATTAACTTTTCAGCTGCTGTGGCACACTTGATTCCTGTTAAGTTTGGTCCAGACGTGTGTCTGTCTCCCTCTACCCCACCAATCCCCTTGCCCATATTGCACTTTTGAGATAGATTTTTTAACCCAGTTATAAGATTTTATATTCATCCTGTTCATTTTCATCTTAGACATAGTTCATTATTCTAATCTGTTGAGAGTCTTTTTAGAACATGGCTCTGTAACCCTACATGTAACCCCTCCTAGCTTGTGGCATTTACATATATATATTCATAACAACTGTGTTTTCATCCAGATCTTTTAAATTTGCTGAACAGTATAGAGTGACAAAGAGCTACCATTACAGACCTCTTTCCAAATTGACATTGACTCATTAATGACTATTCTTAAGATCTCATCATTCACCTAGCTCTAACTCCATCTGTAGTGTCATCTAACCCAGTGGCATCAAACTCATATAAAAGCAAGGCCACTAAAACCATACATGAGGACCCCTGCAGGCTCCATGTTGACTTAGAAAACCACATATTAATATCTGTGTTCTATTGTATTTTTATTTATTTTGTTAAATATTTTCCAGTTACATTTTAATCTGGTAGCATGGGCTGTGTATTTTACATTTTGATCTAATTCACATCTCTTCATCTTGCCCGCATGGATAGCATGAAACAATCTGTTGGATGCATTTTGGAGTTCTAGTTACACTATATAGCTATACACCAGTCTTACATCCCTGTCAGAAAGTAAGGCTAGTCTGGCATGATCTGTTATTGACGCAGATACTCTAACTAGAGTAATTACACCTTTCTTTTCTAAATATTCTTAAAAAAACCCTGCAGCTTTTAAATAATGCATTATATAATTTTGTCATCAATTACAGTCAGATTCACAGTTAATGGTTTGAAAACCACTTCTCATTTTCCTGTTTTGAAAATTGGTGCAACATTCACCAGTCCTGGTATGGTCTTTCTTATGTCCTTTTGCAGTCCAGAGATCATTCTTAGCATGCTTAGCTTCCTTCAAGGCTCAAGAAGCCCCTTTTACATTAACTCTATTCTGATCCCCTTCCTCTCAGTTGCTATAGTACTCCTGTCACCAAAATCACTTTGTATTTACTTTTTGTGTGTTTTGCATGGATTTATCTCTCTATGTGTTGTTTCTCTTAATAGAATGTAAACTCTCTGAGGGCAGGGACCATTTCATTTTTGACTTTGTATCTTCAGAGCCTCACAGGTACCTAGTAGATATTTAATAAATGCCTATAGAATGATAAGTGAATGTAGAGAATGTTTAGATACTCAGATCTGTGATATTATAAATGTGAACATTGCCCTCTACAGATGTAGATAACTGCCTCTCCATGCCTGACCATTCTGTGCATCCTTAACCAAATAATATGTGACATTGCTTTTTGTCTCTGTCTATGAATTAGCTATTAAAACATCTGACTCTATCTTTTAGTAATAAATTACTACTTCAAAGATCCATTATTTTTTCAATGTGGAGCTTTTTGCATTCACTCCATGCCATGATACAGGAGTGTTTGAACTTTTTGGGGAGTAGACAGGTGGCTCGGTAGATAGAGTGCTGGGCTTGGAGTTAGGAATACTCATCTTTGTGAGTTCAAATCTGGCCTCAGACTCTTACTAGCTGGGTGACTCTGGGCAAGTCACTTAACCCTGTTTGCCTCAGTTCCTTATCTGTAAAATGAGCCAGAGAAGGAAATGGCAAACCACTCCTGTATCTTTGCCAAGAGAACCCCACATGGGGTCGCAAAGAGTTGTCAGAGACACCTGAAATGACTCAACCACCACTACCACTACCACTACCACCACCTTTTTTGTGTTGTAGACCTCTGTGACAGTCTGATTTAGTCTGTAGACCCTTTCTCATAATAATGTTTTAAAATTTATAAATTAAAATACATAGGATTACAAAGGAAACCAATTATATTGAATTCCAGTTATTAAAATAGCTTTTGAGAACTCATGAATAGCTCCATACCATGACCAGGCATTAATTAGGACTTTAGTGAAGGAAAGAAAAGTTAATGAATAATATTTAGCAATTACGTTTCTTTCAAAAAGAGAAGGGTATACATTAAACTTGTTGATCAAAGTTACAATGAATGAGCATTCAATTCAATTCAGCAAGCATTTTATTAAGCGCCTACTATATACAAGGCACTGCACTATGCCCTGGGGATAAAAGCAAAATAAAAACCAGTCTGCTCTTGACTGCCCTTACATTCTGGTGGGAGACATGACCTGGAACCGTGCATGGCCATGTGGAAGGAAGGAAAAAACACTGGCCACTAGGAGCATTACTAATGGCTTTCTTTGGTTATGGTAGTTGAGCTGAGCCTAGAAAGTAGCTCAGGATTCTGACAGGTGCAACAGAGGAGGAGATGCTTTTCAGTCATCGGGGAAAGCCTAGGAGCAGGCACAGAGGTAGCACTGGAAGCCCCAGTTCTGGGAACACCATATAGAGCAGTTTGGCTGAAAGGTAGGGTGTCTAAAGTAGTGAAATGAGTCAGTAAACGTGGGTTGGGACCAAGTGCTGCAGAGCTTTAAATGCTGAGCCGAGGAATTTTTATTTTGTTGTAGAATCACTCAGGGAGCTGTTGAAGATTCACCAACAGAGAAATGATACTGTTAGAGTTGTACTTTAGGAAGTACAGATTTTGGGGTCAGTTTTATGGCATACGAATTGAAGAGAAAGAGGTTGGAAGAAAGGTGATAAAATCAGGAGGCTATTTTAGACCAAGCAAGAGGTTTGAAGAACCCAAATTGGGCTGTTGACTGTGGGTCAGTGGAGAAGTGTGCAAGATGAAAGAAATGTTGTGGAGATAGAATTGGCGAGACTTAGCAACTGATTGGTCTATATGGGACTTGTGGGAGAATGAAGAAGTGAGCATGACTACAGGCTTGTGAATTTGAGTGACTGGAAGAATGGTCTTATCTTCAACAGCTGGGAAAGTTTGGAGGAGAGCTTGGTTTTGGAGAGGAGTTGATCAATTCTATTTTTTTTTTTTTTTTGATATATTGATTTTGAGATGCTCAGATAGGGGAAGATGACATACAGACATTTGATGATGCTGGACTGAAATGTAGAAGAGAGATTTTTCTTTTTTTGGTCCAGACCTTTGATTTCATTGGTATAGAGAATTTCTAGTGAGGAGTCTCTTCTACTAGTTTAACTATTTCGCAATTTATGGTCTTAAAGAGTTGCTGGAGGTTAGGTTTGAATGCTTTTTCCTAGAATTTAGATGAGGATACATAGGGCAATAGATTGAGAGGATGGTCGCATCAGGTGAAAGAGGTTTTTTCGTTTGTTTTTAAGATTGAGGTCATGTTTGTAGGCAGTAGAGAAGGAACCAGTAGATAACAGAAAATGGAAGGTTAGAAAGACTGAGTGAGCTGCTTTAGGAAATTGGAGGAGATGGAATCAAGGGCATGAGGGGTGGCATTAGTCTTGGCAAAGAGAAAGTTTACCTTTTTGTCAAAGACTAGGGCAAAGGAAGGGAGAATGGAGTACAACAAAGACACTATTTGAGGTGTGGAATAGGGGAGAAAAGAAGAGATCATGACAAATGACCTTATTTTCTCAGAAATGTTAAAGATGAGGGTACTCCTGTTTTGAAAAACACTGGAAATATATATGGTTGTATAACTAAAATTTAATTTATTCATTTACTGCTTTTGCCATTTAAGTTTGCTTTTACCTCATTATTTATCTTAAGAAGAATCTCATGCCACCTTAATTAATACTGCAGTAGCATTTCTTGCCCCTTTTTACTAGAGCCATAATTTTTACCATTTTGTAGTATTTCCTAATTTCTGAATGGTGAGCTTGAAATGTACATGTGCTATTGTTTTCTCTTTGCTGCTTTGGTATTTTCTACTTAATTAATGTTCCTGATCTTTTGTTACAAGTTTCAGAAATGGGATGTAAAAACTAATTTTTAATGTTTTCTCTTTTTAAAAACAAAAAAATCACTTGCTTTTGTAAATTTATTTTATAAGTATACATATATATGAGGCATGTATATGTATGCATATTTATATATCTTCTCCAACTTCTCATTGCACAAGAGTGAATTCATGCAACACTAAACTGATAAATCAAGAAAGCCAAAATAGATGACTAGTTCAGCTGAGCAGCAGCACATATAGCTAGGCTAGTAGTTGGGGTTCTGTTGATTAAGTTGGAGCAATGCTGAGGCGGTATGATTGGTGAATGGTTTCCAAGTGACTGCTTTCCTGATGGATGCTGGTCTTTTTTGAGCTTGCTTGTTTCAGCACATTCAGTGGTTAGATAGTAAGAGAAGCAAAAGAAAGCTAAAATATTTCAAATTATATGTTTTTTAAAGAACTGGAAGTTTTTGTATTATATAACTGATACCTAGATATCAGATTTTTTGTTTGTTTTTTGGTTTGGCTTTGTTTTTTTGAGAAAATGTGATTTTAGTAGTCTGGAAAAACCATTATACATTTTTGTAGAAATAACTTTTGGATACAGATTTAACTGGTGTCATCACTAGGAAGTCATTAACACTCAAATCCAAACTTGAAATCATTTAGATTGTCCAGTAATTAAATAAACAGATTTATCTTTAAGTTAACTTTTCCTATATCTACTGCCACAATTCAGTAGCAATTTAAAAGTGTTTATTCTTTGAATCTTAGTGATACTGCATGTTGACACTACAATATGTGGAGTTTTGTCTTCCTTCCTCTGCAGTGAGGAGCAATGTAGCATAGTGGGGAGAGGGCCAGCCTCTGGGTTAGAAAGACTTGCTTCGACACATACTATGTGACCTTGGACAAGTCACTTTTCAGTGCTCTAGGCAATTCTTAAGACTACAAATTGTGGAAGAGTTGCTAACCTGAATTGGTAGAAGACAGTCTTTCCTTCCAGGAGCTTCTTATACCATTGAAATCATAGATGCATTCCCTATCCCATGCTTCCCCAAGAATAAATATGTGAAGTAAACAAGAAAACCCTTTTCTTTTATGTGATTTTTATCACATATTTTTCTTCCTTGGCAATCAGAAGCAAAAGCTGTCCACTCCATTGTCCGTCTGGGTTTTCACTTGAACAATTTTTTAAATTGAATGTATATGCTAATACTCCGTGAAGTTAAAACTGCCAGTCATGTACTAACATTCATGTATTAGAGTTGAATGACTGCTACCATCATGTGAATTTCATAGTGTGGAGCTTCATGATGTGGGTTGTACAGTTCCAGTGGTTTAATTACTGTGTTGGTAGGTTTCTCAACATCATTTCTTAGCAGAGAGGATCTAGAAATGAAGCAAGGATATAAATCAGATAAAACTTGATCAATGGTAACGGTTATGTAGGAAAGCAGTGTAGCATCATTTTTTACTTTTTATCTGAGTTACTTAATTTATGGATTTGCCGGCCCCCCCCTCCCCCGGAATTTTAAGGTATTTGTACATTATTGCTATAGAAACCAAACCCTATTTGAGGAATTACTAAGTAGAGTCTTGAAGTAGATGGGTGGAGGAGAATATTCATTTTAAGGCACAAAAATATTTTAATCACATAGAACTTATTTGATTGCTAATGACTTTTCCTCAGGATAAAAATGCCACATGTACTATGGATAGTTCTATTATATGTTATTTTTAGAAACCATTACACTTAGTTTTTTATACAAGTATATGTATCTATTGAAATTCTTTATGATTTTCTTTTAGTCTTCACTTCAGCCAACAAAAAGTGATAAAGTTGTAACTATTTCTTGGACAAAATTTTTTTTTAAAGATTATTTTATAAATATACCTTTTTTTTCCTTCCGTATCTAGGATAAGGTACGAACAGAAAGCTATCGAGATTTTATATACCAAAATCCACATATTTTTAAAGACAAGGTGAGTAGCTCAAGCCACAGAATGTTATCTGCTTTTATTATATTTAAGATTTTATTATATCTACTGCTCTGGAGTGCAGAATTTTGATAGTAGAAAAATGATCAGTACTATAATTATTCAATATATTATCTTTTATCAAGTTCATTAATTACATAAGCATGTCTTATTGAAAAATGTGTTATAAGCAAAAAGATTTTTATTTAGAGTAATTAAGTGAATTTTTAATTTATATTTGAACAGTTTTAATGTTAGATAATAATAGATAATAAGATTTAGACTAGATATTGTGCATTGTGGATGGTGAAATAGCTCCCTTGCTTTCTAGCTAGACAATTTCAACTAAACACCCCCAAGTCATCAGGAAAAAGATGGATTTTTAAGGAATTTCTGTCTTGTAGTAAATTTTAGGTAACTAATTGTCCATTTACTTGAGACAAATTCATTAGCACTAAAATTAGAATTTTTTCTGTGGAGTTTAGCATTACTTCTTAAATTCTGATTCTGCTATGTGGGTTGATAAGAAAGGTAGTTCAGTGAATTAACTTAAAGCAATCAATGTCAGGTGTTTCAATAGTAGACAACTATCATGTTAGCTGCTTTATGGATTTATACAGCAATGTGGTTTAATATAGTTGTTTAGTGTGTGCTAGTAATAAAGTTCCTAAGTACTAAGATTTATTTTCACTGAATTCTTCCTATAGAGTTTATCATTCCCTCTTTTTAAAAATTTAATTTTTTTGGTTATGTTTTAAGTATCAAACTGTTTCCTTCCCTCCCTCCCCACCTTGCATTAGGGAAGGTCACTCTTTGACACAGATTTCTATGTTTATATGTAAAACCATACAATACATACTTCTGTTTATCAGTTCTTTCTCTGAAGATGGATAGCATCTTCCTTCATAGATCCTTTATAGTTGATTTGAGTATTTATTGCGCTCAAAATAACTTGGTTGTTCAAATTATTCTTCAAATGATGTTCCTGTTGCTGTGTATGTTTTCTTGATTTGGCTTACTTCACTTTTCATCATTTCATACAAGTCTTTCCATGTTTTTCTAAAATCAACCAGCTCATCATTTGTCACAGCACGGTAGTATTCCATTACCATCATATACCACACCTTGTTTAGCCATTCCCCAGTTGTTGGGCATCTCCTCAATTTCCAATTCTTTGCCACCACAAAGAGAGCTGCTATAAATATTTTAGAACATATAAGTCCTTTTTCTTTTACCCTGATCACCTTGAGAAACAGACTTAATAGTGGTATTGCTGGGTCAAAAGGCAGACACAGTCTTATAACTTTTTGGGCATAAATCAAGATTGTTCTCCAAAATGGGCGGGCCAATTCATAGTTCCACCAACAGTGTATTAATGTCACATTTTTTCCATATCCCTCCAACATTTGTCATTTTCCTTTTCTATCATTTTAGCCAGTATAATAAGTGTGAGATGATTACCTCAAGGTTGTTTTAATTTGAGTTTCTCTAACTAGTAATGATTTAGAGCATTTTTTATATGACTATATGAAGTTTTGATTTCTTCATCAAAAAACTGCCTGTTCATATCCTTTGACCATTTATCAATTGGGGAATGATTCATATTATAAATTTGACAGAGTTCTCTATATATTTGAGATAATGAGACCTTTATTTGACAAACTGTCTATAAAATTTTCCCCCAATTTTCTGCTTTCATTTTAATCTTGACTACATTGTTTTATTTGTATTTAATTTTTTTAGTTTAATGTAATCAGAATTATCCATTGTATATCTCACAGTGTTCCCTTTCTCTTGTTTATTCATAAATTCTTCTCCTATCCATAAGTCTGATAGGTAATGTGTTCCATATTCTTCTAGTTTTCTTATAATATCTTCCCTTATATCTCGATCATGTATATCATTACCTCTTAAAGTAAATTACCTCAGAAGTTCATTTTAAGAACCAAAACTTGGAATTTAGGACTAAGTCTTTAGATGGTAAAGCAACATCCTTGAGAGATAAATATCCATCTTACAGATATCTTGGAATTTTCTAGCTTTGTTAAACTGCCTCAGTACAAACTCTTAAATCTCACTAATTTAGGGTAGGATGTTGGGTAGATTTAAAAAAAGAACCTTAAACAGAAGCATTTTTTTAAAAGCAAAATTAGTTTGATTAACTATAATTCCAGGGCCCAGAAGACTAGTCATTATTTAAGAAAGTGTTTAGCTTTGTTTGAGTGTTCTTTTTTTAATGTTATTGGTTTGTAAAGAGCTTATCTAAACCAATCTATAACAGTATTTTCCCTTAGAATAAATTATAATCAGATACCCATTTTGACTGATAAATTTTTTGTTTTAATCATTCTCCATCATAAAACTTTTTATATTGAAATAGGTTATTAGAACATAAGAGATACTAATGTGTACTTCTGTTATTCCAGGTAGTTCTGGATGTTGGTTGTGGAACTGGAATTCTCTCTATGTTTGCAGCTAAAGCTGGTGCAAAAAGGGTCATTGGAGTTGATCAATCAGAAATACTTTATCAGGCAATGGATATCATAAGGTAGATGAAGTTTTTTGCCTCATTTTTAAGGTGAATGATAATTTTTAAAAAATTCAGTATTCTTTTATTTGTTATAAATTATGTTAATAACAACAGAATACAACTGTTCGTGTGCAATTTATAAAATTCTGCCAGATCTCTGGGATTCAAATACAATTTTTCTCTCCAAATCTGAAGGAGTACAGTTAGGTTAGTGTAGGACCTCTAGTTCTTGTTGCGTGAGGATTAGATGAAGGACTTGGAGATGTTTTGCCAGGAAAAAGAAGACAGGGGAATATAATAACTAGTTTTTGAAAAGCTGTCACCCAGGAGAATTAAACTATTCTACCTTGTTCTAAATGGCAGAACCCAGAGCAGTAAATAAATATTGGTTGCAAAGAGACAAATTTTGTCTTTAATATGAAGCAAAACTTCCTAACAAACAGAGCTATCTAAAAGTGACGTGGGCTTCCTTTGGAGGCAAATCTCACTTTATTGGAGGGCTTAAGCATAGGTGGAAGGGTAACTCATCAGCTATATGGAAAGTATTGGACTCATTTTCAGGCATGGTTTGGACCATATGACCATGTAGTTCTCTTTCACCTCTACAAATCTGTGATTCTCTTGATTTGAAGACACAAAGACAGAGTTTATACATCTGTTTATTTTGTAACAAGTTTTTCTACCCTTGGTCACCCTGTGAAATTATATGTTGTAAGTTGACTGTTTGACAGTATATTTATCTCCTTAAGAAGCAGCACTTAATTTTTTAAGTGTTCTACTCCCCACCAAAAAAACCTCTTGTCCTAAAAGTCACTTTAACTAAAGTTTTATTCTGATATTTTGTCATGACGTAAAGGGAACCCTGGTTTCTTGAAGGATATGCCAGGGTATTGCATGTTTTGGTAGCTTCTGGAAAGGCTTCAAGTATTGATCTAGTAACAGGTTTTTCACTGTCTGAAGCCAGTCTAAATATGTAGAGGCAGAACATGGAAAATTTGACCAGTAGGTAAACATGAAGCCATATCACTTTCTTATTCTAATCAAAAGAGAGTATTTTTTTCATATACTTAAAGTGAATTCTTCCTCCTCCTAAATTTAAGATCATTGATCATTAAAGTCAACCATTTCATTTGCTGTTTTTCTGGAGTGATACCATCACACAAATTGAGTAAAATGTAAAATTGTCTCTCTAATAAAGCTGAGTGTTCAAAAAAAATCTCATGAAAATAGGGCCTTGAAACACAATTTAAAATAACATGACAAGGTGTTTTTTTTTTTTCTGAAGTATTCAAGTATTGATCTGGTAACAGGTTTTTCACTGTCTGAAGCCAATCTAAATATGTGGAGGCTGAACATGGAAAAATTTGACCATTAGGTAATCAGAGAAGGAAAGGGAAGAAGCATTTTCTAAGCACCTACTATCTGCCAGGCACTGTGCTGAGTGCTTTACAAATATTATCTCATTTGATCCTCACAGCAACGCTGGGGCAGAGGTGCTATTTTGATCCTATTTTGTAGCTGAAGACTTAACTGAAGCATACAGGTTAAAATGACTTGCCCATAGTCATACAACTTATAGGTGTCTGAGGCTCAGGTCTTCCCAACTTGAGTCCCATCATTCTATCCACTGTGCCATCTAGTTACCTCTAAAAATATGAAACATCCTTGAGCTCTGAGTGACCCCATTCTTCTTCCACAGTAACTATCATTGACAAAAAGAAGAGGTAGGTGGGACGCAGGAGTGGAGCAGTGTGATTACCATTTCTAGTGTGCTAGAGATCACATAGTTCTCAGACCATTTACATATATCAACTTGTCTTAATGTGAAATCTTGTCCAGTTACCAACAATTGGATGTGTCACTGGAGAAACTGAACCACACCCATGTTGACACTTTTGTTTTAAATTACTCTGAAAGACAAAATAAAAAGTCATAACTGAAAAGATGAGTAATTCCCAGGTTCTCAGATCTGAATAAAACGGTTGGTAGAGTTATTTTCGTGTAAAAATAGTATTTTGTGAGACATTTGGTTATCTGACCTTGGCAAAGTTCATTATAAATATATAATTTATGAGCAATATCTGGTACATAAAATGGAGAAGTGGAAAACTTCTGTGAATGACTTGACAAGATCTTTTGATTAAATCAGGATAAACCTTTAAACTCATGCACTTCATTGCTAAGGTAGACGTAGAGGGAGGACAGTGAAAGCTATTGGAAAATGTGTTTAGGAATGTAGAATTACAATCAAAGGCTGTAAACTACTGAGACTTGTAAGATTCTGTACATGGTCATTACCAGGTACTACTGCCCCCCCCCAAAAAAAATTGATTATTTTGTAACAGACAGGAAGTGACTTTATCTGTAAGAAAAAGTCTTCAAAAACAGTTGTCTCTGTGCAGTCAGGCCATTGACTAGTTAGAGCAGAGGTCAGAATAAAACACTGGAGTAGAACTGTGCTCTCACCAATTTAGGAGTTCTCACCTATCAAGCAGATCACAACTCATCCATGACTGCCCATCTTGTGCTAGTGTTAAGCTCCTTCATAAAGTTATCCATAATTAACTGGCATTATAAATCACTTTTCAAAGATGACATAAAATTAGACTGAGATATAAAGCGATAAAAACCCAAGTACAATCAGGCACATTACTAATCCTTAACTGTCATCAGTTATCATTTGATCTAATATCATTTTTATGGAATCTTAAGTAGAATGTTTTGCTGAACTCAGAATACAACTTTTCAGGCTTGCAGGTGGCATAAGTATTTCAAGTTTCTCAGGCCTGTTTGGAATCAGTTTCTTACAGGGGTTCATCCTACTAATAAAAGGAAGAATTACTTCATTCCACTGATTCAAAGGTCAAGTGTTAATTTGCCATTATCTACATTACCTATATTTGCCTTGCTATCTAACCCAGCATTTGGACATAGAGGCAGGAAGAGAATGTTAAAAATGACATGTTTTTCTATATATAGAAACATGAAGCCACATCACTTTCTTTTTCTAATCAAAAGAGAGTATTTTTTTCATATACTTAAAGTGAATTCTTCCTCCTCCTAAATTTAAGATCATTGATCATTTAAGTCAACCATTTCATTTGCTGTTTTTCTGGAGTGATACCATCACACAAATTGAGTGAAATGTAAAGTTGTCTCTCTGAGAAAGCTGAGTGTTCAAAAAAAAATCTCATGAAAATAGGGCCTTGAAACACAATTTAAAATAACGTGACAAGGTGGTTTTTTTTTTCCCAAAGAAATAGGAAGCAGTTTCATTATAGCAGTGCCCTATAATGTTTCATTTTATTTTGAAAAACAAAAGCCTCAGCTAAAAATTAGGCCTCAGCATCTAAATGTTAAGTTCAATGCACAAGAACTCTGAAATAGGTGTGTAAGCTAGTCCTAGGTTATTTACTCTGCTATGAATATCCTGGTTCCGATCTGTGAAAACAAACAATAAACAAAATCACCTCCTGTCTTAACAGCTGCTCATGAAGATTTTAATAATCAATTAGATTTTGACAATTCATATTGGAACATGTAGAAAACCAAAATTATTTGCAGTGGGGAATAAAATTATTCAAATAGCCTTTTATCTTTACCATTATTTCTCATGTTTTCTCCATTATTTCTCATAAGTACTGTTTTAATTTCTTATCTAGGAATCAATCATTGAGTGATTGTAGAAGTTAATAGATAATGGGAAAGGTGGAGAAAAGATAAGGATTTTGTTATAAATTTCACTGTCCTTTCTTAACATTTGCTGTCATGGTAATGGTGTGTGTCCATTAAAAATTGTTAGTAGAAGACAAATCACTAAATTCAGATTGTATAGTCATATTGCTATGTCTTTTTATAAAATTCAAAGAACTGCATTGATTTAATCAAACGGGCACCGTGTGTGTATATTTGTGTGTGCATGCGCATGCACATGCACATTGTGTCAAAACATGTCTTTGTTTGAAATGAACTTTTGTTAAAGGTAAAATGAGATTACTGAAGCAATTAAAATTATAGATTATGTTAGTTGCCTGGAAGATTAATAGGAGCTTCTTGAGGACAAAGACTGGTTTTTGCATTTTCTTTGTATCCTCATTGTTTAGCCCAGTGTCTGGAACATCATAAGTACTTCATAGATTTTTATTGACTTAACTTGGGGGAAATAATTGTACAACATCTCTGGTATTGAGCCGGAAGGAACAGTTTTACTTTTTGATGTCATTTTACCTTATTCACCCACAGGGATGGTTATACTTTAGGTCTTCCTATAACCATACAACTCTGTGATGTTGAACTTTGAAATCCCTTCTGTGATCATAATCCTTCCATCTCTCCCTTGCCACAGCTATTCTTTATTCCCATTGCAGCCTTCATTTCTCTCCATTTTCCTTATTTATTTCCCTACTCTGAGCTCACTTTCTTCCCTTCAGAGGTTGCATTGACCCCTTGACTACAGTCCCTGCAAGCTATTGTACTATCTCTCCTTCCTTTTGCTGCCAAATTCCTAGAGTTAGCTCCATCCACAGCTTTCATTTCCTTACCACCCTCTGACTTCTTAACTTCTTAGAATCTTTTTTTTTTTTTTAACTAGGCAATGGGGTTAAGTGACTTGCCCAGGGTCATGCAGCTAGTAAGTGTTATGTGTCTGAGGCTGGATTTGAACTCAGGTCCTCCCAAATCCAGGGCCGGTGCTCTATCCACTGTGCCACCTAGCTGCCCCATTTCTTAGCATCTTCTAATCTGATTTGTGACCCACAAAACACTGAGATTTACATGTTAATTCCCATGACTTTTTCTTAGTTTGCATCTCTCCTTTCTTTACTTTTGTTACCACTGTTCTCTCCTTGTTCTTTTCTTTCCTGTCCCTTACTGTGCTATTTCATATCTATCTCTGACACCTTATCCTAGTTGACCCTTGGGGCTCTGTACTGGGTCGTCTTCTCTCTATTTTTTTCTTTGGTTATCTTAGAAATTTAAGTACATGAATTTAAGTACAGTCTATATGTAAATGACTCCTA